TCGATGTAATGCTGCTGCTGCTGCAACTCCGAGTGGGGTAACGACCTAGTGCGAGCTCGTGAGTGCTGAGAAGGCTGTTGTTGCGAATGCGAATGGTGTGACCGCGTTGGAGACCTCTGTCCTCCTGACCCTGACCCCGAGCCAGAAGACGGCAGCGAAGGCGGAAGAGGCGCCGCTCTGGCCGCTGCGGTCGTCGTCGTGCGGCTCGTCCTATGGCTCTTCACCGACCCGCTCCTCGACCCCCCACTGCGATGTCCGCTCGCTGGCGCTGGCGGCGGCGGCACAGGCACAGGCATAGGCACAGGCGCACCAGGTAAATTCCGATCCAACTCGTCCTTCAGACTCATACTCCCGCCATGACCAACATATGTCGGACTCGCCACCGACGACGACCCGATCTTCACCTTCTCACCTCCCGGATACTGCAGCTCCATGACGGGCGGGACACTATGGCTGCTCTCGCAATCGCTCGGCTCCCACCCGTCGCCATCCCACTCGCTATGCGGCTTCTTCTCCCCACCAACGCTATCCGCGGCGCTGGAGGGCGCCCTGGAGGCCGGGAGAAAATATGACGACCCAGTATGAGGATTAATGGGGGGAGGAGAAGTGTACACCCACTCGTGCGTCCGAGCGCGCGACGCCATGCATTCCGCGAGCGCCGAAGGGGTCGTCGCGTATTCCGTCATCGATTACTGTAATTGTACGTACGTGGTTGTTGTTGTTATGTCTTCGTGTCGGGTCGTGGAGAAGGAGGGGTGAGGGTTCAAACGTTCAAAGGTTGCGTCGAAAGAAAGAAAGAGGCGATGCGACCTGGAGGCAAAATAGAAGTTAGTTGGAGGTGATCATGTCGAGCTCCGGTCGGGTAGATAGAAAAAAAAAGATTTTAGGCGTATGATGGAAAGGGTTTGTGGAAGGATGGGGAGAGGGGAGGGAGGGGAACGAGGCTCGGAACGTGAACGTGAAAGAGAGAAATAAAGAGAGAAACTCACAGCGATCAGAGAATGAATGTCACGGTATTAAGCAAGCGAGCTAAGGGGGGGGGGACTTGCGGGCTCTTCCTGAGTTCCTCCTTACAACACCAGCTTCGAGTCTTCGGCTTTGTGAGCAGCGAACGCTACGTCCGCATGGCCACGCTCCTGAGTTCCTATCCTAATCTTGTCTCCGTTGTCTTCAAGCTTCAAGCTCCTGTTACACCCGAGTACGAATCCCAGAGGCAGGTATATCTGTGTCAAATATGGGACGAAGACGAAGGTAAATCAGAGCGGTGGGGGGATAAGCATGTTCGCTGGGAGTTGCGGTGGAAGAAAGAGGGCGAGGCAGAGGGATACCGCTAAAAACGTGTCCGCCATGAGGCATGGGCCGTCGACCTGTCTATCTTTCTCTTCTCGTCAGTCGCCGGCTTCGCGGGGGAATTTGCGAGTGCCAGTGCTCCCACTCACCCACCGTTGTTGTCCTTTTGATATCTTTTTCATCTCGACGTCCTGATGGTTGGAAGGCAAGCCGCAGCGTGCTCGACGACGCGGAACGAGGTCTATGCCACGTGGATTTCGCTAAGCGATTATTTTTTTCCGACGCGCGTTCAGTAAGTATGCCAGTGTGCCTCTAACCCCCACCCCCACCTGCTCTTTTCCACAAATTAGTAACTGTAACTCTGCCAGCGAAGAGCTCCATCAGGCCTTCAATCGGACACCGACGGTCTTCAAACCTGACACCACAGTGACCACACGCAAGTGACACTATCACATCCATACGGAAGCAAACCAATGAATGAGTTGCCAGTGATTGCCATCCGGTATCCGACGATTTCCCCGTCCCGAGGTGTTCGAATTCTCATCTCCCAGCTCTCACTCGTCAGAGACTCAAAGTACGAGTAAGTAAAGAGGTAAACCCACAGGAAACCTTCCTTACCTTAGCATTGGCAGACTGCCTATCGGAGACTGATCAGCAGGCACATCGTCCGTGTAGACGCCCCCGGAAGGCCTGATCAGATCACATCGGTCGGCGACGACTCGAGAACCCAGAACCCAAATACCACTACACCAACTCGAGTATTATCTCATCTTATTGTACGTCGTCGATAATCCTCGACTCACATCCTCGCGTTCAGATCTCTCACATCGATAGAAAAAGTACGTCAGTTTCACGTACATACATGCTGCGAGGGCATGTACATGTACGTCACGAGCAGGAAGGGAGCACACGGAGGACACGCGCAGGCCTCGAGGCACTAGGTCAGTCACATCTCCATCGCAATCGGAATCAAAATTCCCCTTCTTTTCCTCATGGGTCGACGTAAGAGGGTCGGGCTGGTGTGGAAGTGGAAGGCAATGTAATGAGTCGCAGGATGCGTAAAGCATCATGATGAACAAACTGAGGCCTGAGGTGCGTTAAATTATCGAATCATCGCGGCCGTTGATTTAATAAATATTCATCTCGTCTTGTTGCACAACGTCCGTCTCGTTACCTGTCTTTCGTCTTCGAAAGAACCACTTCATTTACCCAACCACTCAACATCATCTGTCGTATAATTGGCACCCCCTCGAGTACCCACCTGATTTGATCGTCGCGTTTCATTTGGGTGCCGTTGTCTTCGACCGGCTTTGAGATGACGCGGAGCGACTGGTCTTGCACAACCGAATTGAACCTACGTACCCAACGACTAGTCAGTCTGGAATCTCCCGGCGTCAAGTCAGCGGAAGCCAGCCTGAGGTCAGCTCGACCAACCAACCCCAAATCCGAAAACTCTAACGCCCAAACTCACGCAACGTTTCAGTTAGAGAAACACGTACCACGAGCCTCCCTCGCGATCCCAGTCGTACCCCGCAACGCAACGACTCGCTCATTAACTTCCAGGAGTCGCTCAGGAGTCAGGATGAACCCGTAAGTTCCTCCCGCTTCCTGAGTTAATGTAAGTAATCAATACACACCAGCTCCTGAGTCCTGACGTCCTCTCATCCCACTAACGCCGCATCAAGATCAACGCCCCTCTCTTCATTCATTCATTTTGCAACCATTCAACATTCAAGTCCATTGGACCTCCCTAGATCCTACGTCTCCTGAGGCCAAACACCTCGATTCCTCGTAGGTGCAGCGTTGATCGCCTCGGATATCTTCAAAATTGACGGAACGTCGTAATACTTCGATACCTGATTGAAGTCCGACTCGAACGGCTCTCCATCCACCAGCCTGCGTACAAAGCGGTTACGGCACCAACTTGTACATCAACAAACTTCAAGCTCCAACTTCCTAAAGTTCATTCATCTAAACTCCCGTCAAAGTTCAAGAAGCGCGCGGCCGTTCCGCCCCGCACCCGTCCACCGTCTCTCATTCTCTCATTCTCCCACTCTCTCATTCTCTCAGGCAGTCAGGTTCCCCAGGTTCCCTTGTCATCCATCCCACTGGCACTGGCACCGACACTGGCTATGACAGTAGCCGCCTACATCCGCAGTTCATACGTGAGTTCGTAACCTCTCGCGAAAAGGTTACCGAAGTGAGATCCGGTCGAACCCGTCGTATTCCCAACTCTCTCTTCGACTCGGACAGGTGAGAAAGGCAGGTACGAGTAGGAATAACAGCAGCAAGGCTCCCGCGGCCACCTTCTTCGATTCATCAGCTGAATCGAAGATTGAGTCTCGGTCTTCGGTCACAAGAGAGTTCTTCTTGGGGGTGCGAGACGTGAGTTCAGCTTCGGGCCTGCGCATCCGGAGCAATCTTCACAATTACTGACGCGGTCCTCATCCGTCTTTCCTAGACTTTTTCTACTCGAAGTCAAGCTTTATTTTTTGAAGAGAAAGCTCGATGCTCGGTCCGTTGAGACGTTCAAGTTCTTGATGGGTAAAGTGAATGCTTTCAAAAGCGTATCATCATCATTCGAGTTTCGTTCCATACTGACTTCGTTCTCTTTTTTCCAGTTCGCAGTTCCGTATCGAGAGTACCTGCACCTGTACGTTCATTCGACATCTCGTAAATAACCACAGATAAGCGCCAGATTTCAAAGAGCACTACTGATCGTACGTACGTATTTATGCTTCATTTCACAAATCACTGTACATCCAAGATAGGCGCCAGGCGCCAGATTTTAATTTCAAAGTACGTTCATCGACAGCTCGAACATCTCACGAGGCGGCTCAGAAGCTCTCGTCGGACTCAAGACCGACGTCCTATTAGTATTACTTCTCCTCGAAGTTCTCGTTCCTATCACCACCTCTAGGACTGACGATAGACATCTTGCCAATGGATTCCTGGGCGCCGCTCCCAACCGACCTTCAACTTCCTTCAATCTTCGATCTTCGATCCTCGTCACTCGGACACCAAAATGCTTCCGCTCAAATATTGAAACAAGCGCGCGCCTACCATACGAACACTATGACCCCGTCTGTCAAAATCAAACCCATCGAATCTCGAATCTCGATCCTGCTTCTTTTTCTTTCTGTCTGTGTGGCGCTAAAGAGAAGCACCCACCTCCGCATGCGTGCACATCTTTCAAGTCGTTACCCGACGGCAACACAGTTTCTCCAAGCGCCCGAACGTGTACGTGACGGCGTCGATCACCCCCAGCCGACACTGATCATGAGAGAAGCGACTAGTGACGGAGAGAAATGTCAGTGCAGAGAAAACTCTAACTACGGGTTCTTCTCTTTCTGTGGAATCTTACCCCAGGATCCTCCCTCAGGCTCCCTCCGATCATTGCAAATTGACAGGCGGCGGTGTGTGTCGCTGGTGGCGGGTGGATTTGGCGCTCGTTGAGGGCCCTGAACACGCTGTGAGTGTGTCATGAATTTATCGCTTTGGAATTCAATCTTCTCCTGGACGATATCTTTGAGGCTGAAAGAAAAGAGAAGCTTTTCTCCATGCATCTCTTCAAATGGGCGATGCGCTCACGTATCATTGTAAACGCAGCATTTACGAAGTAAAAAAGTACTGAAAATATATCGATTACCGTACGAGGGCTGACCGCAATCCGCTATTTGAAGTAGAAAGGGCAAAAAGCAAAAGATTATTGGACACATCCGGACTCGAACCGGAGACCTCTCGCAGATCTTTGAAGAAATGCTAAGCGAGCGTGATAACCATCTACACCATGTGCCCTTGAAGACTTGTTCACCATGTAGTTATATGTACCCTCACCTTAATTATTTCCACCTTTGACGGCTACCGAGTTCATTCAAGTTGAGAGTCAATGAGACTTGCTTACGGTGACTCTTGTCAACGACGCTCATCATAAATACATCGGCGGTGTCACATTCAAAATGTTCTTTCACCATGTCGAACGTGTAAAGATGCGAGAGCGGCCTCAGTCTTATCCTCCCGCATGCAGCGTGACTCGGGATGGAAATTGGAATCGCCCTCGTCTGCGCGGTCTGCCAGTGCCCTCTTCGAAACCCAAAGTCCCCCGCCCTTCAATAAAAGCGGATAATCATCTTATAAGTGCAGCCTGGGGACAATAGCTTGTGGATTCCTTTAAGTTTATGTACATTAGAAAGAGTAGCGACGGGACGATTGTCATAGTGCAGTGAGTCACAAATACAGAAAGCGCGATGGTCAAAGATAACGATTTACTATACAGACGATAATTGACGCGATGATTGACGATAATACTTGTATCCTGGCGAGTCATATGAGTACAACTATAAAGAGAACTTGGCTGCCTTCCTGTGAACTATTGACAGAAATAACGTGCGTTGTTGAGGATAAAATGCGATAAGAACTGGGAGTCCGTGTAAAGCAGATCCGAAGGGAATCAAGGGATAAAAAGGGGAGAATTGAATCCTTGGACAAGCCGTGAGCGCAGACGGCTCGTTTTTGTCAGGTAGAGCGCCGACGAGAGAAGAAAGAAAAGAGGATTGAGTATCGATGATAATGATGATGGTGTGAAGCGTCACTAGTACGAGCGCGAAGGCGCTGTCCTGAGCATCCACTGGTCCGGTGCATGAACGAGCGCCAGGCCCCAGAACATCACGTCCTCTGGGCCGAGGAGGTCGCTCACCTGTAGCCCCGTCCACGTAGCCCCTGGCGAGTCCATCCGCACATACGCATCCAGCGCCGCATTCACCGCATTGCTCGCTGCCATCGACGGCAGCACGATCGCATTCGAAGGGATCTGACGCCCCGTGCGCTTCTCCATCGCTCGCGCCGCGCGAAAACGTTTTGCAGGGGTCGCGGTCTCCCAGAACGAGATGGGTACGCGCCGGGAGAGCATCAGGTTGCTGAGGTCGGTGAAGAAGGACTGGAGGGTGATGTACTTGTCGCCTCCGCCGTGGTTTACGTACGAGTTGCTCATACCCATGCCCGAGATGCTGCTTCCAGAACTGCTCCGCCGCGCGAATGCGGCGTTGGAGAGCGCGGGGCTTCGAATCTCGAACGCCCAGGAACATTCTTCGTCTAAGATGAGGCTCATACGCTCTAGCGGCGGCGAGAACGGCGATTTGGAGAACTCGTCCGGAGAGAAAGGGCGTTTCGTATAACGGGGCGGTTGTGAAGAGGTTAGATCCCAGTGTAAAGTCGGCACAGGTTTGTCGGGCCACCATCCGAGCGCGGGGGCGACAGATGGCTCATCGGAATCAGCTTGTTCCGTCATCGTTGCTGTCGAAAGAGAGAAATTTGAATGAATTAGCCTGTCGATCAGAAAATTAGAACCAATGCCTCGCACCGTTGCCATTTGGCTGCCCTCCAAATGGTGCTTGCGCCGCTCCACCGTACCCTGGAGGAGGAATTCCTCTCCGAACACTACTCCAGTCAACATGCATCGGAACCATCGCGTTTCCCATCCTGTTGTGCGCGTTCATGTCATAAGGAGGAGGCGCGGGTGGCTGCCATCCTGGCGGGGGATGTCCGAACGAAAAGGCCTGTTGCTGCTGCTGCTGCAACTGCGAACTGGGACCTGGACCTGGCACGCCCATGCCCATGTGCTGTGCACTGGCAGCCGACTGCGAGCGTCTCATGGGATCACCACCGTACGTCACATTCGGCGGGTAGTTTGACGCCTGCGGGTAGGAACCTTTCCTTGAGGCAAGGATATTTTGCTGAGCCACGGAGGGTGGTCGTTGGAGGGAGTGCATGTGCTGCGCAGTGTACGCGTTGAACGCCTCTTGCGACGCTGCAAAACTCGGTATGACGACGCGGTCCCCAGCATGTTGCCCTTGTCTATTCGCGTACATAGGTGGTCCTGACATCGCAAAGGTACCCGTCGACGAGATCCGTTGGTGGGGGGAGAGGAGAATGGCCAAGAGGAGTGGGGGGAAGTCGGGGGCGTGAGTTCGAAAGACCGAACTGCGCCGTCTCTTTATACTAATTGAAGGTTATGAAATGGATGTCAGAGTCTTCGGGATATGGCGTCTATGGCCTACCTGCTGTGCAAGGGCGAACCCGAGATCGCGGCGGTAAACTGTCCAAGAGCAGCGACTGCGCCGTAATCTTCATACGCTCCTTTCTTTTCTTATATAGCCCTCTTTCAGTCTGCATCCATTCAAGAGCGAGCCTCCTGAAATGACCTTCGACCTTGAAAGGGGTCGAGCTTGAGAACGTCGGTCGGTCGTCAAAGGAAAGGAAGGGAGCAAATACCTTGCAACGAGGTCGCCCATTCCCATTACGGGCGAACAAAAGCAGTGTCAAATCGAAGGTTTCGCCGGAATCATTTCGAAAATTGTGTCGAAAGGACTTGGAAAGGGATTTTATCCTTGACATGAGGCGGCAACAAGGTGAAAGACGCGGGGGCTTCGGCGGGACATGGTGGTGGTTGAAACGAAAGGATGGCACGACCTCGCGTACGCGTATGAAGTGTGCTGGCCCGGACGCGGTCCGACGAAACAGCACTTGCCGACATCTCGTTCGCCATCAAAAGTTTTACTCTTTATTCCAGTTCATTGCGATCCAAACGATCACCGCTACAAAATCAAATTGCCACCAAGTCATTAAGATTCATACGATTACAGAAGAACAAGGCAGCGTTGCGGTCAGATCACAGCGATCAGGCCTCCTTCCGCGATCCGAGTTCAGTCACTGAGGAGGCGCGCGAACGAATGTCTCTTTCAAACCTCTATAGGCGTACTCCGGAGGGTATTCATCACCATTGATTGCTGCGTCGAAACCACCTATTAGCACTGGCCGTGTCTCGACTGGTGAGAAATTCGGTGGCGCGTCTCCTTCGACTCCGGGATGTGATAGAGCAGGGCAGGGCAGAGCAAGCTACAACGCCCACGATTGACCCATCAAGGATATTTGGGGGAGAGGAAGAGGTGCGTCGAAGGTGCAGTAAAGAGATTGCAATGATCGACGACGAAGGTGTTGATCGCGAACTAAAACTAGTTTCAGTGGTAGGAAGCGTGTCAACAACTTTGTCGACACGATAATCGCCGCTCGGAAGAAGGAAACGATGATATCCGACTCTCTTGCTCGGCCTCGCAGTGATTCATCGGAATCGTTATCAAAAGCCCGACCGCTTATGAAGAAAGCCAACTTCGAATGTCCAAATAAACCTTTCGCAAGGAGATGAATCAGCCTACAAAAGGCAACCTAACAATAAAGTGTCCACTCACTCTGTCTGAAATTGGCACCCTGACGAGTTCTGCATCGTCCACGGGATTCGAATTGGTTCCGTCTAAGACCAGACATCGATCCATCAATTCACCCCGTTGTCTGAATATGTCCTCCAAATGATGGACGATATCCGGCCCTTCGCTGTCATCATACGAATATTCGAAAAGTTGACAGTTTTTGAGCTTGATAGCAGCAAGACGATTCGAAAAGCCGAAGACCTGATGATCGTCTTCAGGGCACTCAAAATATAAACTTTCTGCCGGGGTATGACGCTGGAGAAAATGGCCTAGCACGGCCGTCCTCGGGTTTGGACTGAAGTATTGATTATTATACGTTGGGCGGATCCTAAAATCCAAGTTCTTGAGGCTCGGCAACTCCGTAAAACGAAGATACTGATGCTTGACGCCGATATGCTCGAGCAGACGAGAGACGTCCGGGAGAATTTCGCTGGGAAGTTCGATGGATATCGTTGTCAACTTCTCATAATTGAACATCCTGAATACGAATTCGGTGTTATCATAGTCGTATTTGTAATCTTGAATGGTCACCGAAAGAGAGCGGAGTGACTTCAAATCCACCTTCAAATGACTGCCGAAGACATCTGGGAAATGGTCGGTTTCACAATTGAGATCCACCTTCAAGTCTTCCACGGTCAAAAGCTGCTTCAAGTATCGGGCGAGCAGAGTTAGTGACCAGTCCACCCGATCGTCGCTGAAACTTCCTTCTTGAACTTCAAATGAAAACGTCTTGACTTTCGATAGAGCCGACTTGGGTAATTCAGGCATGCAGTTTACCCCGTGCAGATGGCGGAGGGATGGAATGCTCCATTTCTTATAGCAATGTTGTGAGATTGTGCTCTTCGCTGCAATGGCCTTGAACGAATCGAGTGAAGGAAGCGACAGCTTCGAATATGTCGATTTGTCCTGCGTCGTCGTCAAGATTTCGAGGTCCAAGGTTAAGTTGGAGATTCGCAGCGATTGCATATTGATAAAACTGAAAAGAGATTGGGCGAACCTAGGAATCTTGTCCTTGGAGATATAACGCGGATAGAAGAACTCGACTGTTAGCTTCAAGTCGGCTGGTCGGGAGCGCTCAGCGTATACGAGCGCATTTGCAACTGGAAGTTCCTTTCCGTAGAAGTTTTCTTTAAAGCGGATTGTTGTCCAGAGTCTGGGGATAGAGAGGCTTATGGCTCGGAACCTTCGACAGACTCGAGAGACTCTGATCGTCGTCTGAAGGTCGTCCAAACTGGCGAATTTAAAGATGATCGCGAAGATTTCGTCCGGTAGTTTTGAGTGCTTCTCTCGTATGAAGTCCTCGGAGAACTGGCTCTCTAGAGACGGGATGCACGATCGGAGGGCGTTAGACAGCGAGTCGAGAGCACGTTGAACGCCCCGCGCGTCCTGAAGGTGCTGCTTGAGAGCCAGAATTTTCTGACTGTCCGGCGTCAACTGCTCCATAGAAGAGCTGACATATTGTTCAGTGTCAGTTACCACAGAATGGAAATGAGAACGCGGTCGAACGCACGGAAGGTCAGCGAAATGCTTTGCGAC